ACCCCGGGGTTCTAGTCCTAGTTGGGTTGCTAGATTCTGTCCCGGTTGCTCCTCTTCCTGTCCAGCTCTCTGCTGTGGCCTGGGAGGACAGTGGAGGATGGCCCAAGTGCTTGGGCCCTGCACCTGCATGGGAGACCAGGAGGAAGCACCTGGCTCCTGGCTTCGGATCAGCACAGCGCACCGGCCGTAGTGGCCATTTAGGGGGTAAACCAACGGAAAAAGGAAGACCTTCCTCTCTGTCTCTCTCTCTCACTGTCTAACTCTGCCTGTCAAAAAAAAAGAAAGAAAGAAAGAAAGAAAATGTCAAAGCAGCACAGAGTGCATGGCTGGGGCACAGTAAACGGCTGCTGAAATGGCTAAATGCTTAGAAGGACAGATACACACCTATCAGTTCTCTGTGTTCCCTGCTGGCCTGGTCACCAGAATTTAGGGGGTACAGGGACTTTTTTTTTTTCCTGTATTTATGCTTCCATATGGCTTGAATATTTTACAATGGGCAGATATTATTTTCTAAGTTTTCTTAATTTTATTTATTTTCATTTATTGAAAGGCAGAACTCCCATTCACTGGTTCACTCTCCAAATGCGCACAATAACCAGAGTTTGGACAGGTTGAAGCCCCTAGCCAGAAACTTTTTTTTAAAAGAGTTGTTTATTTTATTTAAAAGGCAGAGTTACAGAGAGGCAGAGAGAGAGAGAGAGAGAGAGAGAGAGAGAGAGAAGTCTTCCATTTACTGGTTTACTTCCCAGATGGCCAAAATGGACAGAGCTGGGCTAAGCTGAAGTCAGGAGCCAGGAGCTTCTTCTGGGTCTCCCACACGGGTGCAGGAGCTCAAGGACTTTGGCCATCTTCTACTGCTTTCCCAGATCATAGCAGAGAGCTGGATCAGAAGAGGAGCAGCCAGGACTCAAACCGGTGCCCATATGGGATGCTAGCACTGCAGGAGGTGGCTTTACCTGCTATCCCACAGTGCTGCCCCCCTGCCCTTTTTTTTTTTTTTAAGATGTATGTATTGGGGCCGGCGCTGTGGTCTCTCTGCCTCTCCTTTCTCTGTGTAACTCTGACTTTCAAATAAATAAATAAATAAATATATTTTTAAAAAAGATTTTTGTATTTACTTTGAAAGGTAGAGCTACAGAGAGACAGGGAGAGAGGAAGGGAGGGAGGGAGAGGAGGGAGAGAGGGAGGGAGGGGGAGGGGGAGAGAGAGAGATAATCTTCCATCCTCTGGTTCACTCATAAATGTCCACATGGCTAAAGCTAGGTCAGGCCAAAGTCAGTAGCCTAGAACTCCATCCAGGTTCTCTCACATGTGTGTCAGGAGCCCAAGTACTTGGGCTATTTTCCACTGATTTCCCAGGAGCATTAACAGGAAACTGGATCAGAACCAGAGCAGCCTGAACTTGAACTGGCACTCTAATAAGGGATGTGGGCAATCCAAAGCAGAGGTCTAACCCCGAGTGGCCCAACAAGGACCTCAGGAGCCAGGAACTCAATCTGGGTCTTCCACATGGAGGACATGGACCCCAAGTACCTGATTCATCACCTGCTGCCTCCCAGTGTGTGCCTTAGCAGGAAGCTGGATTCAGAAGCTGAGCTGGGACTCAATCCCAGGCACTCAGCTATTGGATGTAGGCGTCTTTAGTGGCATCTTAACTGCCGTGCCAAATGTCTGACCCTACTTTTGGAAGTTTAAAAACTTTGAAAAAAGAGTGAAAGGTTTGAAACTTCTCACCTGATACTATTACTACTACTTCAGTTACTGTTACTTCCTCTTGGTGACTCCACCGAACGTGCTTGCTCAGCATTTCGTAAGTGTGACATCCTGTAACAACCCTGTGAGTTACGTATGATCATTTCCTCATTTTACAGATTAGGAAACTGAGACTCTGCTAGGTTACCTAATCTGCTCAAGGTGACAGAGTTAAGAAATGTAGAAGCCAGGGTCTGACTGTCACGCTTGGGAGTCTATTTATATCTACTACGTCACACCAAAATAACACCATGAGCAGGGGAAAGGGACAACATTCCTGGAAGTCTCAGAGTAAGGCCCAAAACAGCAAGTGCAATTCCTTCAAGGCCTCCTATTTTATCCTCACACTTCATCATAGGCTGTTTTTCTGTCCCATAATATGCACACATTTTAAAATCAAATGATGCAAGTCATTTGTCATTAAGTCAAACAAATCATTCGGAAAATGTCCCAGGTCTATCCTGAGGTGTCACGTGTCCTGTGTATCCAAGGAAATGTTTGCCCCAAGTGGAGAAACACAGACAAAACCAGTTCTTCCTCTCTGGCATTCCCCAGGAGATCAACATCATCAGCATGCCTTCCTAGGGCCTGGAAGTAGTCAGGTGTCAGTTAGCTGTGGCCTCTGCTCTGGGCCCAGTGAGGGCTTAATTCCTTCTCTTGAGTGAAGCACACCAAGTGGCCTATCCCGGGACAGCTAACAGATCTGCAGACCTGCTGCATGGTCATGACAGGCCTCAGACTGGTCCCAGGTGTCTCGACTCCATCCATTGCTTCTTCACTCAACAGCTCACTTTCTAGAAATTTGCATGATTACCACAAGGATGTGGTCCAACCCAACATACAACAGTTGAATGATTGGCAAATGTAAAATTTTAGCCATCTTGTCCTAGGAATCCAGTTATTTTTTTTCTAGAACACATATTTTCTATAAACTTTTGAAGATCCCTCTATGCATGGATATGGAATTGGAAGTGGAGCCAGGACTTGTCCCTAGGCACTCTGATAGAAGAAGTGGGCATTCCCAAAGGGCACCTAAACCAATGTGCCAAATGAGCTATATGTTTAAAAATAAGTAAATGACAAATTGATATTGCATCTATTTTACCCAAAATGAAAGGTAATATTTCAAAAAAGTTAAAAAATAACAAATAATATTGGGTCCCAGTTTTAAAGATTTATCTGGGGTTGGGACATGGTGACTACTTTGCAGGTGAATGGAGCTACTAGCCAAAGAGAGAGCAAACTAATCCTGTAACACCCCTCTCCCCATGGAAACTCCTTCTGTGGCTTCCCATTCCTCTTGGGGTAAAGATCAACAACCTCAGCAGGCTTATGGGGCCCAGCACACTCACATTTCCAACCTTATTTTTTTCTGTTTCCCTCCTTACTTCTGTCGCAGTCACTCTGGCTGTCCTTCTCTTCTTTGGGGCATGCCAAACTCAGGCCTTTGCACAGGATTCCCCCTTTGCTTGGAAATCCTTTTCCATTCCTCTCTATTACTAGCTCAATCCTAGAGTGACTGCCTCAGAGATGATCCCAAGACGGGGGTCCATGTTCCATGTTATATAACCTTACAGAACCACATATCTTCCTGTTACAGCTGCAAATCACAGAAAACTCCCAAATCACAGGTGCTTAAGCAAAATCAAAGCTCATCTCTCTTGCACTCAGAAGTTCTGGGCTTCATGGTGCCTGGACCCAGATGGCAGTGGGTATTGTTCTTTTCCTCCTCCTCCTCCTCCCTCCCTCCCTCTCCCCCTCCCCTCCCCCTCCCCCTCCTCCTCTTGCAGAGAGACCGTGAGCAGATAGAAAGAACTCTCACCCACTGGTTCCCTTCCCAAATGCCTGTCATTGCACCAGCAGGAGATCAAAGCCAGGAGCCAAGAACTGAATCCAGATCCCTTACTGGGTGGCAGAAACTCCATTAGATGGGCCATCACTGCTGCCTTCCAAGTTCTGCATCGGTGAGAAGCCGGAGAGTTGGGAGACAGAGTCAGTATTGAACCCAGGTCCTCCACTGTAAGACAATGGTGCCTTAACCACTAGGCTAAATGCCCCCTCCCAGGCTTCTATTATCTTCTTGCTCCACAAATACACATCTTTTATTCTCAAGGACACCTGCTTGCCCAAAGTAATAGCTGGAGCTCCAGTCATTATACCCACCTTCCCACAGTAGGAATAAGAGGAGACAAGGGTCAGTCTTCTCCCTTTACAAACATTTACTAGAAGTTGAACATCCTGCTTATGTCCCATTGGCGAGAACACAGTCACCCACCACAATCAGGCTGCCAGAAGGCAGTAAGCATAGTCTTTATTCCAGGTGATCAGGTCCACCCCCAGATAGGAGGTTCTGTCGCTCATAACGGGGAGTGAGGACACAGGGAGACAGCCTGAGTCTCTACCACAGAGTGTGTGTCTTGTTTTGTAATCCTCCCTTTATTTGAGGTGATTATTTATTCAACTGAAGTCTTTCTCTCTCTCTAGACTGTCAGCTCCATGAGAGCTGGGCTTTGCTTGGTTTTGTTTATTGTTGTATCCCCTGTGCCATTGTCGCCTGGCCCTTGGAGCAGCCCAGGAGGGCGGTTCCAGTGGTGTCCTGCTGATTTTAGAGGAGAGAGCTGTGGTTCTGGACTTGGGCCAATGCCTAGCTCAAGGCTCTGCTCTGAAGTCTGTGCCATTGACCATCACTCAAGTCTGCTTCAGGGCTAGGCTGCAAAGCGGCAAATTCCATCTCCCCTAGTCCTGCCTGATAGTCCCAGGCTAGCTGGGCATCCCCCAGTGCATCCTTGGCACCTCAGGCAACTCGGCTTAATTCAATCCATGGCTTTCATTCTAACTAAATTGCTAGTATACTGAAAAAGACCAGGGGAGGAAAACATCATCAGTGCTCACACCCATTAGGATGGTTATTACAAAAGGAAGCAAAGAAAGATGGAAGGAAGGAAGGAAGGGAAGGAGGGAGGGAGAGAGGGAGGGAGGGAGGGAGATGGAGAGTGCTGGTGAGGATGTGAAGAAATTGTGCATTGCTGATGGGAATGTGAGATGGTGCAGTCATTCCGGAAAACAGTCAAATTACACATAGATTTACATAGGATCCACCAATGCTACTGCTGGGAAACAATGCAAGCATTCCAACATTTGGAAGAATTTCAACAGGGACTCAGATACCTGTTTCTCCATGTGCACTATAGCATTATCACAACAGCCAAACATGGAAGCGACACACCTGTCTATGAAAAGGTAAATGGATGGGGGCCGGCACTATGGCGCAGCGGGTTAACACCCTGGCCTGAAGCGCCAGCATCCCATATGGGCGCCAGTTCTAGTCCCGGCTGTTCCACTTCCAATTCAGTTCTCTGCTGTGGCCTGGGATAGCAGTAGAAAATGGCCCAAGTCCTTGGGCCCCTGCACCCGCGTAGGAGACCCAGAAGAAGCTCCTGGCTCCTGGCTTTGGATCAGCACAGCTCCAGCCCTTACAGCCAACGGGGGAGTGAACCAGTGGATGGAAGACCTCTCTCTCTCCCTCCCTCCCTCCATCTCTCTCTCTCTGCTTCTCCTCTCTCTGTGTAACTCTGACCTTCGAATAAATAAATCTTTTTAAAAAAAAAGGTAAATGGATAAACAAAATACAGTTTATACACACAATGATATATTATTCACCTGAAAAAGGACAGAAATTCAGAGCTGTGCTCTATACTTGTGAACCTGGACACTATGCTGAGTAAAATGAACACCACAAAGGACAAACACAGTATGATTCCTCTTACAAGGTAGTAATGGATAAGTACCTGGCTCCTGCCATCGCATCAGCACAGTGCGGCGGCCATTGGAGGGTGAACCAACGGCAAAGGAAGATCTTTCTCTCTGTCTCTCTCACTGTCCACTCTGCCTGTCAAAAAAAATAAAAAATGAAAAATAAAGAAAAAATAAAAACAAGGTAGTAATGGTTGTGTCACGGTGTGAACACAGTTAATGCCATGAACTGTACATTTTAAGATGGTAAATTTTCTATAATGCATATTTCAAAAACACAAATAAATCAGTGTTTCTCAGTATGATTCCTGGGATGGTCTTGTAAGGGGAGTGAAAATGGAGGAGCAGAGAGATTTGCCCAGATACCCACTGCTGCTTCCTCGAGCATGCTGGTCCCAATGGGATTGGATGGGAGAAGGGCTTGGGTCATCTAGGGTGGATGTTGAGGATTTGACCTGTTCCCTGGATTGTGTAGAAGGAAACCTGCTAGGGGCTGGCACTGTGGCACAGTAGGTTAATCCTCCACCAGTGGTGCCAGCATCCTATACGGGTACCAGATCAAGTCCTGGCTGCTACTCTTCCAGTCCAGCTCTCTGCCTATGGCCTGGGAAAGCAGCAGAAGATGGCCCAAGTGCTTGGGCACCTGTACCCATGTCGGGGACCAGGAAGAAGCTCCTGGTTCCTGGCTTCAAATCAGCTCAGCTCCAGGTGTTGCAGCCATCTGGGGAGTGAACCAGCAGATGGGGGCCTTTTCTCTCTGTCTCTCCCTCTCTCTGTCTGTAACTTTACCTCTCAAATAAATAAAAATCTTTTTTTTTAGATTTATTTATTTATTTGAAACAGTTACACAGAGAGAAGAGAGGCAGAGAGGGAGAGACAGAGAGAGAGGTTTTCCATCCAATGGTTCACTCCCCAATTGGCTGCAACGGCTGGAGCTGCATCAATCCAAAGCCAGGAGCCAGGAGTTTCCTCCGATCTCCCATGTGGGTGCATGGGTCCAAGGACCTGGGCCATCTTCTACTGCTTTCCCAGGCCATAGCAGAGAGCCAGATTGGAAGAGGAGCAGCCAGGACTAGAACTGGTGCCCATATGGGATGTCGGTGCTTTAGGCCAGGGCATTAACCCACTGTGCCACAGCACTGGCCCCAACAAAAATCTTTAAATAAAAAAATACATAAGGAATCCTGCTGAACACAGGCCCTTTCTGTCTCCACGTACCCTTCCACCTGCCCCGGCAGATAGCACACTACAGGGCCCAGTGGGACAGGTAAGGATAGTGAAATCAGTTGACAGAACCATGCCCTGAGATCCTTCCCTCTTTACACTGCCCACACTGTGGCACAGCCTTAGGGCTCCTCCCCCAGGGGATTGTCCTGCTGCTGTATGAGCATCAGCCAGTTTTTCTTGTAGGAAAGGACTTCACAGTGCTGGCTCTCCAAGGAAGATGGACTGCCAAGCTGAGGGCTGCTCAGACATACATTGACAAGTAGAAAAGAGACTGGAATGAGGTAGGCATTTGGTGCAGCAGTTAAGACGTCACTTGGAACACTTACATCCCACTTCAGAGTGCCTGGGTTCCAGTCCTGGCTCTGCTCCTCACTCCAGCTTCCTGCTAATGCACCCCCTGGGAGTCAGGTCTGTCATCCACGTGGGAGGTCCTGATAGCATTCTAGGCTCCCTCTCTCTCTGCCATCTTTCAGATAAATAAAAACAAAGAAAGAAAGAAAACAGACTGGAAAGATACATAGCACAACGTTAATGGTTATATTGGGTGGAAGAATTATCCCACCTTGTCTTCTTTCTGGTGCCAGTTTCTACATTGAACAGATAGGCCCTTTGAACTTATATAAAAATTAGTTATGTGCTGTTTCACCAAGATGGCATGGAAGGCAAAGAAGTTCCTGCCCCTCCCAAAGCCAAAGCCAAAGCAAAGGCTTTGAAGGCCAATAAGGGAGTTCTGAAAGGCATTCACAGCCACAAAAAAAATAAAATAAAATAAAATAAAATAAAATAAAATAAAATAAAATAAAGAAAGGCTCACCCACATTCCACTGGCCCAAGACACTATGCCTCTGGTGGCAGCCCAAACAACCTCGGAAGAGCACTCCCGGGAGAAACCAGCTTGACCACTCTGCCATCATCAAGCTCCCCCTGACCACTGAGTCTGCTATAAGGAAGGTGGAAGACAACAGCACAGGCGTGTTCATTGTGGATATCAAGGCCAAGAAGCACCAGATCAAACCAGTGGTGAAAACAATGACCTCGATGTGTCCAAAGTCGACACCCTGATCAGACCTGACGGAGAGAAGGCGCATGTGCAGCTGGCTCCTGATTATGATGCTCTGGATGCTGCCAACAAAACTGGGATCATCGTTACTGAGTACAGCTGGCTAGTTCTAAATATATGTTTTTTCACCATTAAAAAAATTAGTTATGTAACAATTCTCTTCAGGATTTCCAGGAGATCAGCAAAAGGAAATCTCTAAAAGGGAAATCTATAAAAGGTTTTTGCCCAGAGTGCAACCTGTCTGGGCAGTGCAGGGGGCTGTACGAGGGCTCTGTGAGGGGAAAAGAGAACCGCAGCATTATCCAATGAGTTTGACTTTGCAGAAAATTGGATTAAGAGGGGTTTACAGAGAGGCTAGAGAGGATGGGAAGACTCACAGAGTCTCACAAAGCCGAGCACACGACACAAAGTGGGAATTCAGTCCAGGGAAGACAAGAAGAAAAGGAACTTGCCGCTGTAACCACTGAGATCTACACAGTCATAAAAATGAGACACGAAGCATGGCTTTGACCAAAATTACATTCCAACACAGAGAAGGCAGGGGAAGAAGTGAAACTAACTCCAAGTCCATAACAGGAAGCCCATGGGTAACAGGTGCAACTGAAATGTTAAGAAATACCAGCATAAGCCTGTGATTAGAGATACAGGAGTAAAACCAGAAGAAATAAAAAAAAAAGAAAAGAAAAGAAAAAGAAAAAAAAAGGCGTTAAGAGTGATTGGATCTCCTCAGATCCAATCTGGATTTGGACTTTGGCCTGGCCCAGCCCTGGCTGTTGCAGCCATTTGGGGAGTGAACTGGCAGATGGAAGATTCTCTCTCTCTCTCTCTCTCTCTCTCTCTCTCTCTCTCTCTTTCTCTTTCTCTTTCTCTTTCTCTCTGTAACTTTGCATTTAAAATAAATAAATAAATCCTTTTTTTTATTTTTATTTATTTATTTGAGAGGTAGAATTACAGACAGAGGGAAAGACAGAAAGGTCTTCCTTCCATTGGTTCACTCCCCAAATGGCCGCAATGGCCAGAGCTATGCCAATCTGAAGCCAGGAGCCAGGTGCTTCTTTCTGGTCTCCCATGCAGGTGCAGGGACCCAAGGACTTGGGCCATCTTCTACTGCTATCCCGGGCCCCAGCAGAGAGCTGGATTGGAAGAGGAACAGCCAGACCAGAACCGGTGCCCATATGGGATGCCTGCTCCACAGGTGGAGGATTAACCTACTACTCCAAAATAAATCTTTTTAAAGAAGTGTTGTAGGCCGGCGCCGCGGCTCACTAGGCTAATCCTCCGCCTAGCGGCGCCGGCACACCGGGTTCTAGTCCCGGTCGGGGCGCCGGATTCTGTCCCGGTCGCCCCTCTTCCAGGCCAGCTCTCTGCTGTGGCCAGGGAGTGCAGTGGAGGATGGCCCAGGTGCTTGGGCCCTGCACCCCATGGGAGACCAGGAAAAGCACCTGGCTCCTGGCTCCTGCCATCGGATCAGCGCGGTGTGCCAGCCGCAGCGCGCCGGCCGCGGCGGCCATTGGAGGGTGAACCAACGGCAAAGGAAGACCTTTCTCTCTATCTCTCTCTCTCACTGTCCACTCTGCCTGTCAAAAAAATAAAAAAATAAAAAAAAAAAGAAGTGTTGTAAAGCAGGAGAGTGGCGGGAGATTGCTTAGACAGAGGTATCAAGTGCTAGGTTTTGAGCTGTGATTCTGAGTATTGCTACTTGGTTTCTAATAACCTCAGTAAAATGTGCTGCACACATCATCTGAGGCCCCTGGCACAGTATTTTGGGAGAATGAAGGAGTGAACAAAAAAGAATAGAAGTTACAGAATGAAGATGGAGAATCCCAAAGTGTCCTAAGATTGAAACACCATAGGAGCTTTATGAGGGTGGATACTGAGGTATGTGGAGCACAGGCTAGAGTCATCCTATTACAATAATCAGGAAACACATGCTCCTCTAAGGTTGGAAATATTGGCAGTCTCCTGTGCGGACAACAAGGCTACAGCCTCACACACTTATCTGGGCAGTGGAGCAGAGAATCAAACTTAAATAACTTTGTGTTATTTCCTCTTATCTGCAGTGTCAGATCCCATATGGGTGTCAGTTTGAGTCGTAGCTGCTCCACTTCTGATTCAGCTCCCTGTTAATGCGCCTGGGAAATCAGTGGAGGATGGCCCCAGTGCTTGGGCCCCTGCACCCATGTGGGAGAACTGGAAGAAGCTCCTGGCTCCTGACTTCAGCCTGGCCCAGCCCTGGCCATTGTGGCCATCTGGGGAGTGAACCAGTGGACAGAAGAGCTCTCTTAGTCTCTCTCTCTCTCTTTCTACTTGTCAAATAAATAAAGTAAAATCTTTTAAAAATTATTGATTTATTTGAAAGGTGGGGAGACACAAGATGAGACAGAGATCTCTAATCCTCTGGTTCACTCCTCAAATGCCCACGATGGCTAGGTCTGGGCCAGACTGACTTTGGGAGTCAGGAACTCTTCCAAGTCTCCCAAGCACTGGAGTCATTCCTGCTGCCTCTGAGGTTGTACATTAACAAGGAGCTGTAGGCAGGAGCAGGAGCCAGGAATCAAACCCAAGCACTCAGATATGGAACACAGGCATCTCAATGGCTAGGCCGAACATCTGGCCCTGTTTGCAACTTTGTAATTTTCTTTTTTCTCTGAATGGAACATGAACAACTTTCAGCCTCATTATTCTTTTTTTTTTCCTTTTTTTTTTTTTTGACAGGCAGAGTGGACAGTGAGAGAGAGACAGAGAGAAAGGTCTTCCTTTTGCCGTTGGTTCACCCTCCAATGGCCGCCGCGGCCTGCGCACTTCGGCCAGCGTATCGCGCTGATCCGAAGCCAGGAGCCAGGTGCTTCTCCTGGTCTCCCATGGGGTGCAGGGCCCAAGGACTCGGGCCATCCTCCACTGCACTCCCTGGCCACAGCAGAGAGCTGGCCTGGAAGAGGAGCAACCAGGACAGAATCCGGCGCCCTGACCGGGACTAGCACCCGGTGTGCCGGCGCCGCAAGGCGAAGAATTAGCCTAGTGAGCCGCGGTGCCGGCCTCAGCCTCATTATTCTTTTATGTAAGTGATTTTCAAGGAGGGGCAAAGTCCTGGTGGAGGTTGTATCAAATTCAAAACATACAGGCACATCTTCAGTCACACAAGTGTATCAGTCAGGGAGCAGGGGAGGAAACAAAGACACTTCCAATATTTAAAAACAGAAGGCCGGCGCCGCGGCTCACTAGGCTAATCCTCCGCCTAGCGGCGCCGGCACACTGGGTTCTAGTCCTGGTCCGGGCACTGGATTCTGTCCTGGTTGCCCCTCTTCCAGGCCAGCCCTCTGCTGTGGCCAGGGAGTGCAGTGGAGGATGGCCCAGGTGCTTGGGCCCTGCACCCCATGGGAGACCAGGATAAGTACCTGGCTCCTGCCTTCGGATCAGCACGGTGCGCTGGCCGCAGCGCGGCGGCCATTGGAGGGTGAACCAATGGCAAAAGGAAGACCTTTCTCTCTGTCTCTCTCTCTCACTGTCCGCTCTGACTGTCAAAAACAAAAACAAACACAGAATGGATTTAACACAAAGTTTATATGACACACATAAAATTACCAAATCCCTGGAAGGGCAGTCACAGGAGGCTCAAAGTTTGCTTTCACCACTGGCTCCCAGAACATTTCCAGGGGAGTTTCTCTGCTACCTTCTGGTTAGTTCAGGTCAAAGTGTTCTAGCTACAATTCAGGCACAGGAAGCTGGGACAAGAGACAGCTGTCACTGCACCACTGAACACAATGTGGAATCTGGCCACTGCTTCCTCCACTGCTTCCTTTCAACATCCTCGACCTGAAGACTTGACCTTGGCATCTCATGGATTTGCTTGCCAGAAGCAAACAGCTCAAAGCAACAAGAATATGGAATTGATCCTACTCCCAGATTTCAAATAAATGAGTCCAAGTGGCAGGGCCTCATTTGCACCCAGAATCTGAGCCGCATGCAATCTTGGAAACATGCCATTATCTCTCCAGCCTCTGTAGCACAGCAAGGGCCCCTGGCATAGGTACTGAGGGGGCAGCCTCCCATCTCTAGCACAGAGACTCTAGCATGGCACCCCAAGGGATCATCATTGTCTTGGTTAGGGGCAGAGCTACTGTTGTCCTCTCTGCTGTCCATGTTCCCTTTCTTCTTCTTCTTCTTCTTCTTCTTCTTCTTCTTCTTCTTCTTCTTCTTCTTCTTCTTCTTCTTCTTCTTCTTGTTTTTTACAGGCAGAGTGGACAGTGAGAGAGAGCAACAGAGAGAAAGGTCTTCCTTTTTTCTGTTGGTTCACCCCACAATGGCCACTGCAGCTGGTGCGCTGCGTCCGGCGCGCTGCGCTGATCCGAAGCCAGGAGTCAGGTGCTTCTCCTGGTCTCCCATGCGGGTGCAGGGCCCAAGCACTT